CTACTTTCTCCTTCACTCACTCTGTTCCAGCCTCAATGGCTATTTTTGTTTTAAAGTGCCATACAAAGGCAATTTTAATTTGCTAAAACAAACAAACAAAAAACCAGACAGAACGAACTTCTTCTTACTGCTACATCTACCATCTTAAAAAAGCGATACCCAGAATTTAAATAACCTATTTTCAGGTGTTACTTAAACAAAAGCATTTGAGTAAGTATTCTTGTAAGAAAAAACAGTGGCAAACAAAACCAGAGCCCAGACGCATAATTCTGGCTACGAATTTTAAATTAGGTTTTATTTTTCTGTCCTGAAAATTCTGTTTACTAAAACTTCATAGTATAATAGAAACAGACACATAAATCCATTGAGCCTCTGCATAAACGAACATTTTCAGACTTTACTCCTGATGCATTCTTCAAATTACCCGCAAAAAACTAACTGCTTATAAAGAATGCTTTAGGCTATGCGGATGATTTAAAAACAAGCACACAACCAACATAAAAACAAAGAATCGTCCTCTTTTTCAGGAGAAACGTCTTAAGTGAAGTTATCCTCTCGAAACATGTTTGGTGTCAATTCTGGGTGAACCAGGATGGCCACTTCCGTTCTCTCTCAATGATCCTCTTACCCTGATCTTGCCTGGAGGGTGTCTCCCCCAAGTACAGCACCATGGTCTCCACGGTAGGAGCCTTGAAAGGGGCTCCCTCTTGCTTCCCTATCTGTCGTCTGGTTTCCGCTGTCTCTTTACACACCTTCTCATAGCAATAGCCACGGAGGACGTGTTTCTGTTTCAGGTGACCGTATTCAGGACAAACGTCTATATTGTTCTTAACTTTAATAAGCTTATGAGGGTTTCTTCTCCTACACCTGTTAACTTCAGTGCTGCGTCTGTCTTTGGGAGCTGCCATCCGAAAGATGCTCTCCAAAAAACTGGAAATCTCCTTCCTTCCATTGGTATCATTTGCTGGTCCTGTAAATATAGCTGGACCTTGGACCGCTCATGCTGGTCCCCATTGAGGACTGAGAAAGCCTGGCCGGCTCTGCCGAAGTTTCCGCTGCAGTTGCTCCCAACAGTTCCGGAGGAGTCCCTGGGCTGCGGGCCATGGCGGAACCATTAGCATAGGCATGGCAGGTGCCATGTTGCTCGCCCGAAAATCTCAATGGCTGTTTTAGAACTAGCCTGACCTGCTCCCACCTTAAGGCATTTCTATTGTCTGTTCCCTCCACCTGGAACACTGTTCCCCCAAATATCTATGTGGTTAGCACCTCCCTCCTTCAGGTCTTTGCACAAATGCCACCTTCTCGATGAGCCCTTCTCTGATCACCCCAATTTAAAACGTTATTCCCTGTCCCCTTCCCATTCTCCTCATATGCTTATGACCTGTTAATATACTATATAATTCACCTATTTATTATACCTATTGCTTTGTCTATCTTCCTCCACTAGAACGGAAACCCCGTAAGGGTAGAGATTTTTGTCCGTTTTGTATACAAATGTATCCCCCCAACCCCAGTCTCCTCTTAAAAATGCCCAGGCTCCTCAGCTAGCCCTTTGTCCTGGCTTCATCGCAGTCCAGACATGCTCTGGCTGTCAGTGAGTCTCTGGATTCTGGCTTGCAGAGCTGAGCAGAAGCTCTAGTGGGATGTGGGCGCTGTGCCATGCAGGGGACTGTTGCATTGCCATTTCCCCTTCCCACCAGCCCATCAGAAGGTCCAAGGTAGCCTGACTGGGGTGGGGTCCGGGGAGAAGGGAAGGGCTCCTCCTGACATGCCTGCTGTGGGGGTCTCCTCGCTCTGCGCAGAGGAGCCTCGGTACTACCCAGTGAGGCGGTTTCCACTCAGGGACAGCCTGGATGGACTTGCCCCAGGAAAGGGCTGAGGGTAAGGTGAGAATTCTGACCAAGACTTTCTTGCCTTGGTTTCTGAAGGCCCTTTCCTGTCTCCCAAAGTTGCCCCCGGTGGTTGTCTGGGTTATTCACATTCCAGAAGCACTGACGTGGCACTAAATATTCCTAGGGCTCCAGCCTTCCCCCCTGGGGCCGAGAGTCATCTCTTTGAGCCTGCTTTCTGGAATGTTTTTGGTATGAAACATCCTGGCAAGTGAGGGGAAGCATCCTGGCAAGTGAGGGGAAGGAAGCTCCGTGCAAATGGAATCCCCGAGCCTGGGTCTCTAGGGGCTGGAGTAATAGACATTCTCTTCCCACCCAGAGTCTCTCTCCCCAGCGGGCTTCCGCCACATCCATCCCCTCTCCTGCCCACCCCTCCCAGCCCCTGGCTTTGAAGAGGTTAAGCAAACAGACCTCAAAGAGAACAAAGATCTCAGGACCAAGTACCACTTCGTCCCCTCCTCTTCCTAGAAATCCACCCCGCCAGCAGTGCTAGTAGGATGGGCTTCAGGGGCTTGGCGTCCCTTCTCTCCTCCCGTCCTGTCTCCCCACTCTAGCTTCTCCGTGTTCTCACTCACCCTTTATTTCCCAGCTCCCTTTTGGGGCTTTGGAGGTAAGGGGAAGGCATCCGGGGCAGAAGGAATTGCCATACTCCTTGTGCCTGGACAGGAGTGTGGCATGTAATAGTGTCTCAATAAGTATTTGTAGTTCCATTCACTGATATTCTCCCAACTCTCCAAACCCAATCTAGTTTAAATGAGCCCCCCATCGTCCACTTCGCTAAGATTTGGCATCCCTCAGACCTGGATTTGAGTTGAGTTTTCCCACCTGCTAACTAGGCAAGTTACTTTATGTTTTTGAGTCTCAACTTCTTCCTCTGTGACCCGAGAATGATAAAAATTGTGCCGAACTAACAAGGCTTTCCTGGGCATTACATAACATATCAAGTGTTTGATACATAAGCACTTAAAAAATGGTAGCCCTGTTATCTCCTAAGTTGCAATTCTTCTCTCTCATCATCCCAACTCCCCTTCAACAGTCTCTGAACTAAAAATTTTTCTGTTGAATTTGACTTATTTTTATGCATGCTGGCTTGCTGTTCAGTCTGCAACCTCTCTGAGGTTAGGATCTTAGGCGTTGCACCAGAAACAGAGCAATTACCTCTATCTTCCACGGAGCTTAGCACACAATAGGGCTTGATTCCTGAGTCAATGAATAAATGAACACAGTTAACTCCACATCTGAACTCTATGCTTCTTGGGTAAAGACCCTCCCTTATATTTTTCCCGTGTCTACCCACAGTCTAGCCCAGACCTCCAGCACTCAGTTGGACCTGCCTTGTTTCCAAGTGGTGGAGCCTCGGGGCTGGAAGAGCTTTGAAAAGTCTCCATGAAAAGGCTGGAGGTGGGAACCCCATCACCAGGAGACATGGAGCCGTTTCAAAATTATCAGACTGAAATACCCCATTTGTAGCCTACACGGTTTCTTGTTTACTCTCCCATCCTGATCCCATAGTTGCCTGGCCTCCCCACTTCTTCCCCAGACTCAGCAACTTTGCCAGCTCCCCAGATGCAGGGAGGGGGAGGGCAGTGCAGATGCTCCAAACCGGCAGGCACCGAAGGCTGGTAGGAGGGCAGGTGTACGGGGAACAGACTGTTTGGGGGCCTGCGAACACCAGAGCCGGGTGAGGTATGGGGGAGGGAGCCTGCTTGAAGCTGGAGCCAGCCGGCTGCCTGCCTGCACTTTGTCCTTATCCTCCCTTTCATCCTAGCCCTCAGAGCCTGGGAGTTTCTCAATGGAGCGGGAGCCCGGGGAATGCTCTGCAGGGGGTGGAGAGGGGCGGCCGACGAGGGGGGCATTCCAAGCATTCTTTACTTCCTCTAAGAGTCAGGCGGTTGGGGGGCGGAGTGGGGAGCAGCTGCCTGCACTGGAGGGAAAGGGATTTCTTTGGAGGAAGAGAATAAAGGCGGTGGAGGTGCCTACAAGCAGCAGGGGACGGAGCTAGATGGGGGAGGGGTGGGAGAGGAGGGGGAAGGGTGGGGGCAGGGCTGTATAATCTGCCAAACCCAGTTCTTGAGTGCTAAAGGCAGGAGGAGCAAATTGGGACCCTTAGCCCAGGGCACCCTCCCCGCTGGGTGTTTATAAGGGCAGAACCGCTGATGGACGTATAACAGGGAGTCCTTTGGAGCTAAGAGCTCGGTTTTTGGTGTGTGTTTTGTTTTTATGAAGCGGGTTCTCTTTTTTCCACCTGTGAGAGCCCAAGGGAGTGTGTGTTAAGAGAAAACTCGAAGACCTGTGCCCCCACTTCCCCAAAGAGAACCACAGAAGCTATTTTCCAATCATCGTTCTGGGTTTTAATGGGGTGGCTCTATTTCTAGCCACCGCAGAAGGGAAGAGGGACCATCAGGTAGATGGAATCAGGGCGTGGAGTGAGGGAGCCAGAGACCCCTTCCAGGTAGAGCGATGGGACATGCAGATTTATAAAAGGCCCCCGGCTTCCCCTTGATCAGTAGGGAATCATTGCAAAAATATCTCCCTGTACACAAAACTTAGATGTCATAGTGCATTTCCCCAGAACATAGTATTCACATTATTGAAAACAGTAAGATTCACTATTTTAAAAATGCAGAGCTGAAAACATAAAAATAAATAAGAACATTCTAGGCCCTGAAAGCCCAGAGAAACAGATACATCCATTCTCAGTAGCAGGAGCAGCTTGGAGGCTAGAGAAGTTCAGAGTCTTTGAGGTCCAAGGTGGGGTCCAGGGGAATCCGGGCCCCTTGAGATGATGTCCAATAGCAGCCCGAGCCTTTTCAAGTCTTTTAGATTCATAGCAGCGACTCCAGGAGGCTTGGGCCAGGTTTGGAGGATGCGAAAGGGGAGAGAACCTTTGAGGAAACAGAGGCTGTGTTCTCTTACTGCTCAGATAAATAAGGAAGGGCACACTCTAGAAGACCATTCCCAGGACACCCCAGGCACATTAGGGGGGTGCCACACTCCAGTTTGAGTGCTTGGTGGAGATGGGAATGTGTATGTGAATTTAAAGAGTTTCCATCCCCACCTTGGCAGGAAGGCACCATGCACAAAACTTACTCTTTATAGGAGCTGGGCGCCGAGAGCGCTCTTTCCAGCTCTCTGCCGCCCTACTATGTGTACAACAAACAGGCAACCTGGACTCAGCCTTGGGCCTTCCTCTCTACTTCTCTACTCATTTCCCTTCTACTACCTTCTTGGTTCCATGCGGCTGAAGACATTGAACCCTCAGTGCACTTCACTTGCCCACTTCCCACATCCAGCCCTCCCCAGGGCTCAATTGCAAACCATCCCAGCCTTCTGGGCTGGGGTGCTGGTCCTGGGAGGCAGGGAAGAAGGCAGTTTCCCCTCAGGGTGCAGCCAGCTGCATCTTAGAGCCAGCCGGGATGGGGCAATGCCCCCCACCTTCAGCTGAGCTTTGAGCAGACCCCCAGTGCCTGTTGGTAGGCCTCTGTCACCTCCTGGCAGTCCATCAGGGAAAAGCAGCTTTCCCCCAGGGGGTCCTGCCGCCAGCACCTCAGGCCCCTGCTTCCAGGGCCCTCTGAGGGGGGCTCCTCAAGCCCCACGAGGTTGTCCACAGACACACAGCCCCGCAGTGTGGGCTCAGCGAGCCGTTCAGGCAAGTCCAGCTGGTCAAAGGACTCAGAGGACAGGATGCTGTCCTCACTCACTGCCCCCGTGGGGTGGCTGGCCCGGGCTGGAGGGTGAGGTGGGGCCAGTTCATCCAAAGAACCAAAAGTGGTGTGGGCTGTGAGCTCCAGGGCTGCGTGGGAGAACTTGCCGTTGTGTTTGAGGATGCCCTTGCGTTGGAGCAGCAGCCCCGAGGCTTGTGGGGGCGTGTGCCCCACGGCATCCCCGCTTACAAACACGTCCCCTGCATCCAAGAGCTCCCCAGACTCACTGGGCTCAGGAGAGGAGTAGTAGCCGGACTCCCGCTGGCGAGACTTCTTGAGGATGCCCTTCTTGGGGAGCTGGGGGGCAGCCTGTCCTGGGCTCGCAGGGATGGGGCCAAGCTCAGGGCCCTCCCTTGCCCCTTCCGAGGAGGTCGATGCCTTCTTCTTGAGAATGCTTTTCGGCAGCTTGAGGTTGCCCTTGCCAGGGCGAGGGGAGGCATCAGCAGCTGGGTCCCCCTGGAGAGTCTGGGCCATGTCATTCTCTCTGCGGGACTTCTTGAGCGAATGCTGGCGCTCCAGGCCAGGGGCGAGACTCCCGCCTCCAGGCGCATGTTGCTTGAAGAAGCTGCAGACCTTGGCCCCGTTCTCCAGGAAGGGGCGGGAGGACCGCCGGAGCCAGTCAGCCACGGAGGCCCGGCCAGAGTCGCTGCCGGGGCGCCTTCCCTCGTGCACAGCTTCCTGCTCCCCGACACGGGTGGCATAGCCCCAGTTGACCCACCAGTGACTGGCCACATCCTCCAGGGTGGCCCGGCGGGTAGGGTTCACCATTAATAGCCACCGGATCAGGCCACAGGCGTCTAAAAGAAGACGGAGAAGGGTTTCAGATCCATAGCCATGAGCATGGGCACCCACAGTCCCCCTCACTGGCTTACCCCCATTTGTGCTAAGACATTGCTGACTCCTGTGTCAGATATGCCACTCCCACCTAGGGCTCCATACACGCTGCAGCCCGGGCCGGCCCCCCAGTCTCCAGCTTCCCTGGATTGACTGTCGGATTTCCTCTTCCATCCCACCACCCCTCAGGACCACAGCCATGTTTATGTGTTAGCGTGTATCCTCCTTTGCTCCACTGACATGCAACCCTCTGAGGGTAGGGACTGTTCAAGAGCAAACCAAGGTCCTCACACCTTTCTTCTTGCCTTACAACGTCGTACGTGAAAGGACAAAAAGATTTCTAAGGACAAGGACAAAAGCAGTAGGAAATGAGACAATTGTAGCCAAGAGGATCTAAGCTAGACCCTAGGAAGCACTTTCCAAATATGATAAAGCTTGCCCATAAAGGAAGGAAGGAGCTATCCCTTCCTTCCTCAGAGGTCACAGACATAGGAGGAAAAGAGATGACAGCAGGAGTTGAGGTGGAAGGTACACTCCACCTACAGTGGGCTGCCCTCTTCACTTTACTGTCACTGTTTAATTCCTGCCTCAGGAATGAGCAAAGGACACCCAGCACCTAGATGAGAACACCTATACCTCTCACTCACCAGAGGGTTTAGGTGGCTGCCGGTAGGCCCCACTGCTGATCTGTTTCACCAGCGTCTTATGGTCCTGCCCATCAAAGGGCATGGAGCCATGCACCAGGATGTACAGGAGAACACCCAGGGACCAGCTGTCCACCTGAGGGAGAGAGAGGATCAGCCAGGACCTCCTCATGCCACAGGCTAGAGGGCTTCCAGCCTCACCTTCATTCAGTACCATGGTGAAAAGAGAGCCCATGTTGGAGAACCCAGAGCCCAGTGTAACTGAGGACCACCTCCTTCTAGTACCCAGGGGCAGAGAGGGTGACACTGCAGAAGGGGCTGAGGTTCATGGAGAGCTGCTGTCATTTGCCTCCCCTTGGGAGGAGCAGCCACAAACACAAGATCAGTGACGAGGTCATCCCTTCTGGGCCAGGAGTGCTGGTTGTGACAGATACCATCCCTCCAGGGAGGCTGGCTGGGGGCTGGGAAAGGAAATGGGAATGTGGAAGGTGAGGGGCACAGAACCAGACTGGGGGTCAGAAGACTTAAGCTCTTGTTCCAGTTTTGCCACTCCCATTAGAGACCCGGCCACACACTACTTTGGTGGGGAAGTGAGTTTTGTGATCTGAGAAAGGGAATAACTAGAAAACTAGCACATCCCTCTCTCAGGATCTAAGCTGAGGCAGGCTGGCGGAGGAGTCCAGACACTTACCTCTGGGCCCGTGTAGGGCTTCCCGTTGACGATTTCGGGCGAGGCATAGAGGGGGCTCCCACAGAATGTCTGCAGGAACTTGCCTTGGTGGTAGAGGTTGGAGAGGCCAAAGTCAGCGATCTGCAGAATTGGGTCAAACACAGGCAGGGGTCACACCAAGGCCTGTGTTGTTCTATAGCTCCTGGTCTGCCCCCCGCCAGACCCCAAGGAAACCCAGGCCCTAGCAGGAGGAAAGGGTGCCCATGACCCCTACCCCATACCGGGCACCACCAACACAGCTCAGGCCCTGGAAGAAAGAGCCCTTTGGAGGTTGTGTCAATGAGGAAAGCCTAGGCAGAGGTGTTGGGGAGCTCCAGGGTCCTCACTGTTCCCCAGGCCCCTTTGCTCATGCTGTACTCTACTCCAGGGATGCTCTCTCTGCCTACACACATCCTCCTGACCCAGCAAGCCCACCTCCTCCAGGAAGCCTTCCATTGCCCTGAGATCTCCTCCTCCCATGAAGCCCTACAATTTGCAGTGGCTCACGGTAGCCCCTGCTTGTCAGTTCCGTCTCCTCATACTGCCACATCAATATGCTTCCATGCTGACCTCCTGCACCCACCCCTCCTGCAACTCCTAGCACAGCTGTGACCCATGGGTGGGACTAATGGCCACTTATTGACTGAAGGAAGGGTCTACCAGTTGGAGGGGGACAGACAATGTCTCATGCCAATGCCATGAACCTCAGAAGCAAGCTACCCCATGACTTGGGCTTGGGCTGCCCTTCCCAGCAAAGGATGCATCTCTCTGCCCACACCTGGGCAGGAACGTGGTGGCAGGACTGGGGTCAGCCCAGTATAGCTGAGAAGCAGTACTGAAGGAAGAACAAAGGTTACGGTCATGGTTATAGCCCAGGAGAAGGGATCTTCTTACAGGACTTCCTGAGCCCTCTGATATTGAGGGTTTGAGGGGCCCCAAGCCCATCTTCTCATTCCTCAGAAAGACCTTTCCACCAGCTATCAGACAAAGGCTGAGGCCAATGCCCTTTTGCTCCCAACCTCTTCATCCCCAGCAGAGGGTCATGTGTGCCCAGGGTGGGGAGAAGCTGTTTATGAACTCTGGCTCCTTCATTTATGGGTTTTATTGGCCTCCTATCAAGCAGTTACCAGTTGAAGCCTATAATGAGGCAGATGATTGGTGCAGATGGGAAAGTTCGTGCCTGCCTGGGTTGTGTGGATTTATTGGCTCTGGCTTCCCCCTCCCTGGTCAGCATCAAAGAGAGCCCCACCTACTCCGGGAATTGGTAAGGAAAATGAACTCAGTGCCAGGGCGCCTCAGGGCACAGGTCAGGGGCCACTGGGGAAAGGACTATGATCTGGGTTCGGGAAGATACTGAGGAGGGTCCGACTGCAGAGTCAGAGCCCTTCCAGGTATCTGCAGGGGCCAGCCCTTGCCGTCTCCCCTTCCAGCCCTGAGACCTGAGTTTATCATATCAACCTGAACTTCTCAGGCCTAAATTTAACTACTTAGACATGGGAATTCAGCAGCTGCAGAAAGCAGGAAGCTGGCTCTGGAGTGCTTGCTGTGGTGAAAGGTGCTAAAGGGCTACCTAATTGCGGCAGATTAAAGTGCGCATGCGTGCGTGCATGTGCATGCATGCAGGTGGGGAGAACTCAGGCCATGGCCTCTCCGTGCCAGTCCCAAGGCTGTGAGCAGAAGCCAACCTTAGATCTAGACTCCTTCAGCCTTGTGACGTCAAGAGCACTGGTCAGGGAGTCAGAAGACTTTGGTTCTAGCTGAGGCTCAGCCACTCGCTAGCCATGGGACCTTATGCAAATCACTGCTTATCGTAAGGCCTCAGCTTTCCATCCATAGAATGAGGTACTGAAATGGATGATGGCTAAGGTCCTTATCAGTACCCATATAAGAGTCTGAGCTTTGCTCAACTCCTTCTGGAACCCCCTAGGGGCTTAGAGATGCTTGGCAAGGGACTGTGCAGACAGGCTGGGGAGGGGTAGGGAAGCAGCTTTAAACAAGAAGTGAGGCTCACCTTGATATTTCCATTGGCATCTAAGAGGATGTTCTCCAGCTTGAGATCCCGGTGGACAACCCTGTTCTGAAAGAGGGAGGGAGGAGGGTCAGGGGAAGGCCACCAGGGCGGGAAGGACATGAGGACCTGGTCTGGACAGTGAGGGAAGCACAAAGGGGGCCGAGTAGGGGGTGAGCACAGGTAGGCTGGGAGGCCCATCTTTACTGGTACATACTATAACAAATCATGGTCCTTCCAACCCCAGCCAAGAGACTTGAAGCCAGAGACACCAACATTCCCCAGGCTGAGTCCAGAACTGAGTCTTGCCTCTTTCGATCTCCCTGTGTGTTCCTGGACCAGTCATGGAATCTCTCTGGTGAAACCAGCCCCTGAGCCCCAGGGACCACCCCCTCAGCACAGGGCTGAGGCAGGTGCCGCTCACCTGGTGGCAGTAGTGCACGGCGGAGACAATCTGCCGGAAGAAATGCCGGGCTTCGCGCTCGCTGAGCCGCTGCCGTTCACTGATGTAGTCATATAGGTCACCCCGGCTGGCGTACTCCATGACGATCACGATCTTGCTGCTGTTCTCAAACACTGGAGCAGAGCAAGGCAGGAATGTCAGGCCCCTTCAGAGTGCACTGCTCCCCACTAGGGAACACGTATCACTCCCAGGCCCCCAAACCAGACAGGACCTCCCACCAGAGACATCTGCTAATGAGGCAGGACAGTGCCCTTTGATGCTCCCAACACCTTCCAGTAGCAACGAATTAAGGCCAAGGGAACTGGCTCACCCTCCGTTTCCTTGGAAGTTCAGGCTTCGGAGGATTCTTAACACTACCCTGCAAATTCTGAGACATCACTGGATGAGAATGAAAAACCAGGCTCTCTGGTTCAGAATCCAGTACTTTTTTGCCTCGTGACCTTGGGCAAATCTCTTCTAGATACATCAGTAAGAATGTAGGTTTGGGATTTGAATCCTGGCCCCATCATTTACTAGCTGGGTGACCACGGCAAGTTACTCAATCAGTGTGCCTCAGTTTCCTCATTTGAAGAGGGGTAATGATAGCAACGTCACAGAACTGGGGCGAGGAATAGATAAAAGTTAGTCACAGCTCTCAGGCTGGTGGAGCAAGCTGGTGTGGGCTCTGACATACAAGCAAGCACTCAATAGACTATACCTACTGTTATATTTATTATCAGCGTCCTCATGCATAAACTTGAAAAATAATGCCCATAATAATGCCTGACTTGAGGATCAGAAGAGGAATAAAAGTATGAAAGTGCTTTGTAAACTGTAAAGTACCATGGAGAGCCGAGATATTTATCACCCTTAACATCTCTGACTTCCCGTCCAGAATATCCAGGCTGGGGCTTTGTACATAGAAACGATCAATAAATATTTGGTAATTAATTGACTGGCTGGGCTCCTGGCAGCCAGCCTACTCCAGCTGGCTTATCTCCATGTGAGGAAGGGGCCCTATTGCCACCTCAGGCCTTGTCTTGCCTCTTGGAAAAGTAGGGAATGGCTGGTTCACCAAACTGGCCCTTCAGCAGGGTGTGTGTCAAAACATGTATGTCTGTGACATTGCATCTTTGTGTCAAACGAGTCCTATGAGTTTGGCTTGCTCAGCCAGCCCCAGAGAGATTACTGTCTAGCCTGTGAGAAGGAGCTAAGAGAGGAGGCTTCTCCCAAGAAGAGTCCCAGCTCCCAGGCAGTTGGATACATGGTCAGGAGGACTGTGCTTTTTCCTAGGGGAGCACAGTGGCCCAGAATGCTGGGGGGTGCCTAGCTGAGGCTCCACCCCTGTGGTTCTCCACATCTCTGCAGGATGTGTGCAAACTTTGTGCCGTACAATTGGGGGTCAGGAGCCAGCCAGGGCACATTCTGGAGAGCAGCTATGTTAGAAGTCAGTTCCCAGGACTGCAGCCTTCCCCCCAGTCCATATCTCTTGAAGTCTGTGGATGGGGATGGATCTGTGGGAGCTCTACCAGATACACAGTAACTATGACAACCCCACATCTGCTGAATCTGAAGGTGCAGTAAGTAGCAGCTGCATCCTAAGCTTCAGAGCTCAGTTCCCAGACCTAGCTGTAGATATGGGTGTGGGGAAGAATTCACACACACACACACACACACACACACACACACAGCCCAATCACCACGCTTAGCCTGGCTTAACCAATACTCTGTCATCTGCCCACTCCTCCCTGGGGGAAACAAACAGAGAAACAATTAGCCTTCCAGCCACCTGCTACGGCTCCTCATGGGAAAGGCTCAGGCCACAGGGCCATGTCAGTGGCTCTGCCCTTAGTCTTCCTCTAAACAGAACTTGAGAGAGGAGACCTCTCTTTCTTCCTACCAGGAATATTCAGACTGAGGGCAAAGCCACAGGCTCCCTTTCCTCCTTCCGGCTGTTCCTGCCATTCCTCGTTTCCTGTCTAACTGATATTATGTAAAGGCTGGAAGCAGACAGGTGTGTGTGGGAGGCTGCTCCCCCTCTTT